TTTAAATTATCAAACATAACATAAATTAATTACAAAACAGGCAACTATAAATTAGTGGCGTAATGGCGATTTCGGATTTAAGTGAATATTCCATTTACTGGGTAAACCGTGATCACACTGAGCAATCCTATAATCAACACACTTTCCTATCAATATTTCACGATACCACGTTGTAATTGAAAAAACCAAATTGAAAGATGATTGTGGACGAAGAATTTAGACAAGAGAATTGTGTGGGTTTCTTTGACTGTTTCTACTCAGATGCATACAAACTATTATGTCATTGGGTTCAGTAAATCATACATACCTAGCATTATCGATGGCTTTGGTTTCTTTCCCTGATATCAGTTGTGCTCTATTTCTATATGTGTAAAGTGAAGAATAACTTTGAACACTCAGTTACACTGGCTATCTGGAAATCAGTGCAAGAAAATCAGTTGTTCTCGGACTGAAACAGATCGGACTTGTAATGTGCTTACATATATGTATATACATTTTTTTTAAGAGTGCCAGAAAATTACGTTTCTGTCTATGAATTTTCTCGCTGTCTCATACTGCAGATATATCGCGTTGCTTACTCACGCTTCTCTTGCTTGCGTGAGTCTAAGTTAATTTGAACACGCACTTACATTTTGATTTCTTTCTCTCCCGAAATCACTGAAGATTATGAGAAACCAGGGAGGAATACTGTGGACCGATCTTGTCATTGAACGTTCTTGATTGTTACTGTGTACCGTATTACTCCATAAAGTTTGGGGAGTTCACCTTACATTGTTAGACGTAGCAAGCTATTTGAGAAGTTTGCCAAGGTCACATATGCCGAGTTTAAACTTCTGATCGTTCAATTCTTAGTGTGATCATTACACTACCAGGGGACGGGTGAATCATAGATGTAGACAAATCTAGAATATATATATGGTTCTGCTGATGTTCAGCTTGAAGATCCACATGATCAGCCGCACTTTTTATTGTTCTCCAGATTTCTACATCATCCGCAAACAATAATGTCGACGACCTAAGTAACAGCGGTAACTCATTAACGTAGAGAAGGAAGAACAGAGGGCCTAAGATGGTGCCTTGAGGTATGCCACTTTTGACCGGCTTCCAATCGGATTGCGTTCCGTTGACCCTCACTCTCTGTCTGCGGTCACAAGAAATTTGTTATCCACTCATGTACAGTACCTATTATTCCAAAGCTCGTGAACTTCTGCACAAGACCTACGTGTGAAACCTTGTCAAATGCTTTGCTAAAATCTATGGATATCACATCGACCGACAGACCGTTATCTAGGGCTTCTGTCCAATCCTCCCTCGCAATAAGCAAGTTAGTCAAGCATGAACGCTTGTTATGAAATCCATGGTGCTCAGGAGCTAACAGATTGTGTAAATCTATATGGCTTAGCAACCTAAACCGAATTAACTTTTCAAGTAACTTAACGACTATGCTAGTTAGACTAACAGGCCGGTAGTTAGATACTATCTGTCGCTGACCGTCCTTAAATATAGCACTGACTATAGCGTCCTTCCAATCTCTATGGAGTTGAGCGAGTGAAAGGGACATGTTGAAGAGTGTCGCGAGCGGTTTTGAAATAATGTCCGCAAGAGGTGACAGCAACCGTGGATGTGAGCCGTCAAGGCCCGGTATCTTACAGTTTTGAGGTTAGTTATCAACGGAAGGACAGATTCCTCAGTCACCAGTACAGATTCCATGGTTGGTATCTCGGTGTGAGTGGGACAATTATTTGTTACAATAAACGTAGAGAATACTTCGCTAAAATAGTTTGAAAAAGTCTCAGCTTTCGCTCGGTCTGATTTATCTAGTAATTCTGAATTTTCGTGTAACAGTAACGGGGGAATACCATCACTACGTTTCGTCCGCCGTTTAACATACGAAAACAATCGTTTCGGACAAGTACGGCTACCATATACTAACTGTCGTTCGTAAGTGGTACGGGCTTTGGCTATGGTTTTCTTACAGATATTACGGAATTTTTTATACTCACGCTTAAATGGTTCATGACCTGTCAACAAGAATAAGTGCCAGAAATGTTTCCTACGCTTTAACAACTTCCGGGTTTCCTTATTAATCCATAGAAGGCATTGTGATAGCTTACGTGCTGACCATGGGATAAACGGCGACGTTACGGACTCGAATGTAGCCTTAAACTTATTCCATTCATCTTCGATCAATCCATCCGCATCGACCGACCCATCAGTCGAGATAGCACAGTTTCTGATCACGGAATATTGGCTCGTCAGATATTGGGACGGGGTGGAGCAGACACGAATTGTATACCATGTGTCCTAAACTTAAAGTGAATTACAACGTGATCACTGTTAACTAGTGGGAGTAGGTGCTGAATGTCGAAGACATCCTCATAGTGGTGGGTGAGGGCGAGGTCCAGCAGTGACGGATCATGATTGAAATCAATATGTGTCGGTTTTGTGATACATTGTACAATTGCATTTGCTAAGAATCCAGGTGTGGAAACTTTAGTATCCCTCTATTTGCTGACTGTGTATTCACAAACGAAGAATTCCTAGTTGACAACCTCTCAATCCTGGCTCCTCTGGAAAAGAGCGATCATGCCGTCATAGCCTTCAGTTTTCTCATCAAAACTAATAATTTGCGTTGGAATTTTAAACGGCTGAATGTGCCAGCTCTACATGACTATCTACAACAGGTGGTTTGGGATATTCACCCTCAACTCGATGTGGACGGGCATTGGGACTTCTTACTGCACACGGTCTTACGTGCTACAAACCATTCAGTTCCTCAAACGGTTCTCAAAAGCTGCAAGCCACCCAGAGTAATCAAGAACCGTACCCTTCGCCTACTAAGCCGCAAAAAACACTGCTGGGCGGAATACAAACGAACTAATAACGACGGAGCGTATAGACAATATAAACATATCAGGAACATATGCACGAAGGCTATAAGAGAAGTCAGGCTTCAGTACCAGACAAAGCTTATGGAAAAATTTGCCTCTAACCCTAGAAGCCTATTCCGTTATGCAGCCTCTCTTCGTCGAGCGAAAACAGGACTTTCTCAACTGCTAGGTCTTAACGGCCCGACCAACAACGATGGCAACGCCGCCAACCTTCTGGCGGCACATTACTCTCAAACATTTCAGCCGGCTGACATCAACTTTATTGACGACAGTTTCATCTGCAATTCCACAAGACTTTCCGAAGTGGACCTAAGCGCTGACGTGGTGTTTCGTAAACTGTAGCACTTAAGACTAGATACTTCTCCTGGCCCGGATATGGTTCATTCTGCCACACTGAGGGAGGCAGCCTCAATCCTGGCAACGCCGCTTAGCGTGATGTTTTCACACTCGCTAAGCCGAGGCAAATTACCGGAAAATTGGAAGTTGGCTCACATCACACCAATTTTCAAAGGTGGTCGACGCAATGAACCTTCAAGTTATCGGCCGGTGGCTCTTCTGTCATTACCTTCAAAATTCATGGAGTCCCTGATATGCGACGGTTTAAACGACTATCTACTGTCCTTAAATTTCTTCTCACCCCAACAGCATGGTTTCAGGAAGGGTTACTATTGTATAACCAACCTGCTGACTGCGGTGGACAGATGGACAAGCATCCTCGATCGCAAGGGAAAGGTTGACATCATTTACCTTGATTTCTCAAAATCTTTTGATAAAGTTAACCACTTGTGTCTTATCAATAAGTTCAAACGACTAGGTATCAAACCACCTCTAATCGATTGGCTTATTTCATACCTAAAAAATCGACACTTTAAGGTTAGGGTTAATTTCACTTTATCTCAGGCTATGGAATGTCCTAGTGGGGTCCCCCAGGGCTCAGTATTAGGGCCTCTTCTCTTCTTGATCTATATAAATGATCTTCCTCAACATGCAACGTCAGACTTATTACTTTTTGCCGATGACGTGAAACTTTGGAGAGAGATACGCAACCAAGACGATACACAGGCACTTCAGGAGGATCTGACTCAACTTCAAAGTTGGACAGACGATAACGGACTTACCTTTAACACTTCAAAGTGTGAAGTAGTCCATTTGCTACATGTCGCAAACTACAGTTATAACTTAGGAAACTCCTCTCTAGTAGTATCCCAAGTCGAAAAAGATTTAGGAGTCCTGATGCCCCTTGATTTGAAGTCTTACGCTAACTGTGACAAAAATGCCTTCCGAGCAAACCTTGCACTGGTAACATTGAAGCGCATTTTTGGCCAGTTTGACGGAAGAACTTTCCATACAATCTTCAATAGTTTTATCCTTCTCCATCTAGAGTACGGAATCATAGTACTCCCCCCTCATTCTAAAAGGACAAGGTCACTTTAGAGCGTATCCAACGGCGAGCCACGAAATCAGTTCGAGGACTCAAATCTAAGCCTTACGAAGAACGCCTCCATTCACTAGACCTTTACCCATTAGAGTATAGGCGTCTTAGAAGTGATTTATTAATGGCTTATAGTATTCTTAACACTTCTGGATATCCTCTTAAACACCTTCTTAAGCTTAGTTCGAATAATAACCTAAGGGGTAACACCCAGAAACTGGAAACTCAACATAGCAAGACGTGATGTAGACACAAATTCTACTCCTTAAGAGTTGTCAAAAGCTGGAATTCGCTGCCGGCCGAGCTAGTCCAAGCGACTTTTCAGGAGTCCTTCAAGAGGAGACTTGACCTATTCTTAAGGACCAAGGACAGTATCATACTATGATTTACCAATTTCTTTTGCTCTTTTATTGTTAACATACCTAGGTTCCTGCCTGGAGGATTTGGTGATCCCGTGCTGCTAGATACGGAAGCCTGTTAAGCGAAAGCTTCTCCTATTTCGTCCACAACCATTTAAACCATTTTGAACCATCTTCATCACCATAGCATCACCTTCGTCACCTCAATAATAAAGGCTACCAAACATAGTGCATATAAACTGAAATCAAGTTTAAGATTGTCTTGATTTGAATGCTTGAGAAAAATAAATTGTCGAGGTGATACATCAGTCGTTTTACGACGGCTTGACCTTCAGAAGCCCAATAACCTTGGTCAATGGACGATGTCACTGGGTCGTTGCCTTGAGTCGGTTAATGGATCTATACAACTAGGTAGAGCGGTAATGTTTTTCATCGGTTTCCACCTCAATAAAATGAATCTTTCTATTCCCATTTTCTTTAACCTGTCACAGTACCTATTTAGTAAGGCACTTCTGTGTACTCTTGTTCTATCCAAATATCATGAATACCCAATCTCCAGATTTTAGGTCAATTCTGTGGGATTTCGGAGGGGAAACCCATATCAGAGGAAATTCCGACGTTTTGTACTTAACTTGACAACATTAGCATAGGACCTATCACACCATTTCACTGAAGCTTGTCATGGTTCGACCGAGACAGTGAAGTGTCAACATTAAATTCAGACCAATCAAGCTATTGCCTGATTGATCCTCAACTACTATATTGTACAGTCGCTGTATTTTATACATGGATTGGCTTAAAATCTATTTGAAGATTTAGTAACGTAAAATCAGGTCCATTTGATCGAAACGAATAATTTTGTTAGGTTTAGTTGTGAAAATGTGGTTGAATTTTTCGGCATTCGTCCCAGTTAGTTTCTCATTATTCCCTACCTTGTGGATAATTCAGCTTTACACAAATGTCGTACTCTAGTTGTCAAGATATATATTAGAAACAAAATATTGTCAAGGTATTTGATCGTGATATTCTATCTTTCCGAACTAATTGCACTCAGTCTCAGTTATCTGTATCTTGCGAAGTGTCTTGAACTTATTTTTCAGTTTAACAAATTGCAAGTCACTTTTAGTCACCTCTAGGTGGATAGTCAAACTTCATCACGTGTGTATGTAGCTTTCTGGTAGAACGAGACGTAATTACATTAAAATCCATGCACGTAAGGAAAAGTATAAAAGTTCTATAATACCTTACCTAGCAAATATACTCTGTGACGAACAGGTTGTTAGAATTAACCTAGTCAATAACTTACATTCTTAACATGTCTTTAATTTTAAAAAGTTTGTAGTTCTTTTTGGTTTTTTTAATTTTTTTAAAAAAAACCTTTTTTTGTTTATTTTTGTATTTGCTACTGCCTTTTTGTTCGTTGTTCAGTAAGTAACTTGTTGAAATATCCTGTGCTGAGAGTTCTATATTGTACCAAAATATAATATTGAATAAAGCCATTAATAATAATAATAAATAATAGCTGAGATCATCCACTTGATCACGGTTTCCCATTGGTTATATCCCATATTTTGCATTCACTTATATGTTAGCTTCAATGTTAAATTAGCCTGATCTTGATATCAAAGATACTGAGTTGAGTACAAACGTCGTTACTAGATTCAGCTGAATTCAAAGCGGTTAGATTCGATGCTTCTATCACCTGGTCACTAAAAGCATAGTCTGAAGTAAAAACTTGTCCTTTAGGTACGCAGTAATCACACAGACTGAAATGTCCAATCATGTTGGTTGTGCTAAATCCTCAAATGTGTATTCCGGAAGCATCAGTCTTTAAATTTATTCATTAGAGTGGGGCGATTTTCGTCGATTAACCTTGGCATTAGATAATCTAGTATGAGTTTGGATCATTGATTTCAGTGACTTCATTTGTACTAATTTTTCAATATTTAGTTAGTTATTTGACTTTCAATACACCTTTTCATTGTATTCATAAATTTCCTGTGATTTGGTGCTTAAGCAGCAATTGCCTACTTGATAAATTGTAGTTAATAATCAGATTAACCGATATATAGTTATCAAAAATATTCCTCTCGCTCCAACCCGACCGAAGCTGCTACCTTGACGTGGTGGTCGGGCTTGCCTATCGTAATGACCTAACCAAGCTATATTGGCTGGAACATATGTTCCTGTAGGTTCTACCATGCCAGGAAGGTCGATCGGTGAACGGTAAGACTAAAAGCAGCAACTCAAGGTCTGAGGGAGAAGTTGTACTGCTGACTGTAGAGGGGTGTGACGGCAGTAAGGTGTTTCCCTCGGACAACCAGCATCTGCAGCGATGCTGCCTTCCCACAAGGAGGGGTGGGGTTAGAAAAGGTCGACCCTAAAAATGTCACACCTCACTTTACCTCACGGATTTCCGTCTCTGGCGGTAAGGTCCTTTGAAGAACGGAGCTAACACATTAAAAACCTTCCACGAAAGGGCCGTGCCCGACCGGCCTCAAGCAGTTGTCCCTTGGGCTCTGCGGTCACGCTCCCAGGTCGTCAAGACCAACACTAATCCAATTTCCTTTTCAGGTTCCTCAAGAAATACCCTTCCACGGTGTGGGCAGCCGGGAAGTGATATCAGCCCTCATACCCGTAACAGCGCACGAGACCAAGTTGGTCACATTCAAATCCTTCCTACACCTTCTAATACCTCTCTTATCTCCATGACTAACCCTCCTCACGTCTCTTTATCACCTCGCACCGCTAGGGCAAACGATTCGAGCACGCGGAACGCTATTCCTGGTCTCCTGAAACCACGCTCTAAACTACACGTAGGAGCTTTTAACGTCCGAACAGTGCCAAATAGGACAGCAGGCTTCCTTAGCCAAGACTTTAGGATCCCGCGCCATCGATGTGTACTGCGTCTCCGAAACGCGCATACAGGATCCGAGTAGCGTCATTCATCTGACCTCACCATGCCAAAATAAAGAACCGACTCAATTCACACTTCTTGTATCTGGAAGCCCTGATTCTGCTTCCCGTGGCCTCGCCGGCGTAGGTATAGCATTGAGTCCTAGGGCAGAACTAGCTTTCTTAGAGTGGATCCCAGTAGACAGTCCTTTGTGCGCTGTCCGACTGAACGGAACAGTAAGGACTCGGAAAGATAGGGACACTCGTCGTTGCCTCTAACTATTCTCCCACTGACTGCAGCGCAGATGATGTAAAAGATGAGTTTTACAGAAAGCTCTCCGACCTAAAAGCTAGGCGCTCGGATGTAGTAATAGTGGCCGGTGACTTTAATGCTCAAGTAGGTAAACTAAGCAATAGGGAAAGACACCTGGGTGGATCTTATGGTGTCGTGGCTCAAAGAACAGATAATGGAGACCGTCTGTTGCAGCTATGCTCAGATAACCGCCTCTTTCTTGCAAATACTAACTTTAAGCATAAGGAAAAACATCTTTTAACATGGAGACCCTCTAATTCGTCCCAACGTTGGACCCAAATTGATCACATCGCTATCAGCCACCGATGGAGGGGCTCGATAGAAGACTGTCGCTCATTCTGTAGCACATGCTTAGATCCAGATCATGCTCTAGTGCGAGCGCGTATCTGTCTGCGTCTTACTGGACGTAAGAAAGACGCTACGAGGAAACCTCTTAGGGTCCTATTTAATGGAAATCAAGCTAAGAGTATATTTCAGGAACAACTAGGAAAACAGTTAGGCAGTCATGTATGTGATGCCCATCCCGAGGCAGCATGGAATGATATCCGAAAAGCTGTGGAAACAGCAGTGATATTTGCTAGTACGGTAGCGCGTAAGGTGAAGGTGAAATACTGGATCTCAGCAGCATCTATCGCACTGATAGATGCTCGGAAACTCATTCCACAATTGTTCAGACTTGTTAAGCAAACCGGTATTAGGAAACCGACTGTTAGCGAAACACTCTTTGAGAAAGATGGACATATTATACATTCTCAATCCAGGAGATTGGATCGATGGGCAGAACACTGTAGGGATCAGTTCAACTGGTCTTCAGCCACACTTCAGTTTCCTACGATCTCCAGTCAACCTGAATAGCAAGTTAATGTAGGTCCTCCAACTCTTTATGAAGTTGAAAAAGCCATAGGAAATCTGAAACGAGGGAGAGCAGCAGGCTCTGACAGGTTTACTCCTGAGATTTTCAAGGATGGTGGTCCAGTATTAGTAGTGAGATTAACTGAGGTCTTAGGTAGAATTTGGGAACTGGATGTAATCCCATCTGACTGGTCTCAATCACTGATTGTGCCAGTCTATAAGAAAGGACAAAAGTCCTCTTGTGACAATCACGGAGAAATCAGTTTGACAAATATAGTGTCTAAAATATTAGGTTCAATAATACTTCGGCGCCTAACTAAAGCTCGTGAAGAGCAGACTAGAGAAAACCAGGCTGGTTTCCGACCTGGACGTGGTTGTATAGATCAGATATTCACACTACGTCAGGTTCTAAAACACGGACACACGTTCAGACGACCCACAATGGTAGTATTTCTCGACCTTAAGGCGGCATTCGACTCTGTTGATCGTGATGTTCTATGGCAGTGTTTGTCACTGAAAGGAGTACCAAAGAAGTACATCAATCTTGTAAAGACTCTCTACTCGAACACAACTGGTCAAGTAAGAGCTTATGGCGAACTGTCATCAGAATTGATTACCTCAAGTGGTGTTCGTCAGGGCTGTCCACTCTTTCCTTTCTTGTTCAACTTTGTCATTGACGTGCTTATAGAGATGACCATTTCCTCATCTAAATTTCCAGGGGTTAAACTTCTACCGGGAGGTTCACTTGTTGACTTAGAATATGCTGATGAAATAGTTTTATTTGGCGAAGACGCTGACAAAATGCAGAGTCTTCTGACCGCTCTAAGCAACAATGCAAGCATGTTCGGGATGCGATTCTCCCCCCGAAATGCAAAATGTTGATTCAGGATTGGGTTGCATCGACACCCGAACTAATGTTAGGGAGTGAAGTAGTTGAGCGTGTCGACCTCTTCACTTATCTTGGAAGTCTCATCAACCCTTGTGGTCTGGTGTGTGACGAAATCTCAGTACGGATAAAGAAGGTTCGACTGGTTTTTGCCAACCTGTGTCATTTATGGCGTAGGCGAGATATCCGTCTATCAACCAAAGGACGGGTTTACTGCGCAGCAGTTCGTTCCGTCCTGCTTTATGGCAGTGAAACATGGCTGGTAAGAGCAGATGATATTCGTAGGTTATTAGTATTTGATCATAGTTGTCTTCGAAATATTGCTCGTATATCCTGGGACCATCGAGTAAGTAATGCAGTTGTTGGGAAACGGGTACTAGGTAAGGATGGCAAATCAATTGATGAAGTGGTGAAACTTCATCAGTTGAGATGGCTTGGACACGTGTTACGTATGTCCAACGACCG